GTAAGTTTTTGCATCCGGAAAGAAGATTCTGAATGAGACGGTGCAAGTTTAGTCATTGTTCTAGCAAGCTCTCAAGCACAAAATGTGCCTGGAGACAAAACACATACACACACAAAAGCACAAAGCAAATGAATAATAGGATGAGTCAGACCTACTTTGTCAAGAATCATTGTCAGTTTCCCTTGAATAAAACAGAAAAGAAGAATAGACTTTTCTTCAGAAAGTGCTACCTACCATCTGGCATTCTTAGGGCGTTTAAGCTAAGTAACAGTCTTTAGTGAACAAGCCGTTTTAGTTTACTTTCTTCAGACCTAATCTACATCACTGTGTTTTCTTAAGAATAATCCTTGGAATCTTAGAAATATATTTCAAAGATGACTTCAAGTAGAAAAAATTTCTCAGAGACTTCAGATGATGTTTACAGTTGGAAACTTCTTGGACCTTGGTAAAATAAAGACCTAATGGTAGTTTTCCATCTTTTTTGTAATGTCGTCAAACAGTATTAGATCTGTTTTATACCCCTCATTCCCAATCTGAAGCAGAACTTCTGAGTTTTGCTGCTTCAGTTTTGATCTGAGACTAAGGGTTATTTAGGCCTTTGCTATTCTATCTTGTTCCTTCAGAGTGTTTGCGTTCATTCATTGGTCCAACCATCCATCCACCCTTCCATCCATCCATCCATCTATCCATCTGCATTCTTAGGGTGTTTAAGCTTATTAACAGTCATTAGTGAACAAACCATTTTAGTTTGCTATCCATCTATTCATCCCAGATCCTGCCACTGTGAAGGGAATGAATAACCTAAGAATCCTGTCTACCAAGGGCCCCTACCTCAACAGTGAGAATGACTGATGTCACTTTATACAGTGTCGACTGAAATAAATGCACAGCCTAAAAGTTGAGTTATGTTTTATTTGGCAGGAGGACTCGAGCCCGGATGACAGCCATTCAGATGGCTCTGAGGGACTGCTCCCAAGAGGGAGGGGAGGAGCTAGGTTATATAGGAGCTTTACAACAAAGACCAGGTAGATGGAACAATAAAAGATTGCTTGTTATCTAAAGAAAGCCAGACATCTCTAGTTAAAGAATTTAGTGCTTTTCTATGTATGGGAGGAAGCAAACATTTGGGCTCACTGAATTCATTCCTTTGACAAGCACCTAGCTATCTAGGGCCAGTATCCTGTCCTTTGTTATTCTAAGTCCGATCAGAGGGCACCATTGTGAGTGGCTGCAGAGGCTGGGCTGCAGGCCTGTCCTCACTATGGGGTGGCAGCAGTCGCTTATGACTTGGTTTCAGCATTCTTTATTTACTGATATGGTTGCAGTATTTTCATTCACACTGCAGTATTTTCCTTCACAACATAAAGGCCTACGTGAGGGTGAGGGTGGTGCTAAACACTGTTGGTTTCCTCCTAGGTTCTGGATCTGCCACTTAGTGGAGATGGGTTCCAAGACAGTGACCTTAGGTGCTTAACCAAAGCCTCGAATCTTGGATACCTTCTGCAGCTCAGTCAGGCCGTTACATGAAGGAAGTAGTGTTGGGTGTGAGACAACACAGCTTGAACTGTGTACAACTAGTGTGTGCATGCCCACACAAAGGGAGTCAAATTGAGAGGGAAAAAAAAGTGCATCTGCCAAGGAAAACAGATCTAGAAGCCAAATATGACTTATCACCCTCCCATTAGCAAACTTTGGCTGTAAAGAATCTCACTTCCCATGATAATGATCAAACCCAGAGTGACATTTGTCATCTTCATCTCATACACTATTTGACAGCAGTTGATGGAACATGCATTACTCCTGTCCCAATTTATTAAAATAAAACTCAGACAGATAAAGTGGCTTTCCCAAGTCAAAGAGCTAATGAATGGCAAAATCAGATTTGAGGTGGATGGTTGTCCAAAATTACAGAAAGATGCCCAAGGAGGTGTTTTGGCAATCATACATCCGGTGGGCACACCTGCATAGACACAGACATTCATCCTGCATCAGCCACGTATGCAGAAGAAATACTACAAGGCTATATGCTCATGTGTAGTTTTAAGTAAGATTTATTTCAGCAAATACATATTGAAAAATTTGCTATCTGCAAGGCTTTGTGGGAAAGCCAAACATGAATTGGTTGTGACTTCTGTCTTCAAAGAACTTTCAGCCTTTGGGAGAGTGCACCAAAAAAACACAGAACAAATACAACATATAGATGAATAGTTAAACATGAGTGACTGATTCAAAAGTAGGTTCTGATAACATACGCAAGAATGATGTTACATTTATCACTGCATGATGATATATCATACGTGTGTCTATATTGCATACATGTTACATGTTATATTTCTGCTCATTTGTTTCCTGATATTCCATTACACTAAAATGTAAGTTCATTGAAGGCAAGCACTTCACATGAATATTTTTTAACGCTGTGTACCTGGCACATAGAAGAAAGCCAATAAATTTTTGTTGAATGAATGAATAAATTAACATACACACAATGGAAATGATTGCCTGGATGGTAACCACCAGCGCCAGGAACCTGGGTATGATGGTGTGTGTTTCCTCTTTTTTTCTGCAACGTTCTGGAAAATCTACTAGGAACACGATAGGTGCAATGGCCTATTTTGCTTGGATAACTTCCTTCGAGATTCAGTCTTTCATTGGTTTTGGTGGCTCTATTGGAGTGTCTGTTTCAAAACTTTTCCAGATGAATATTGTGGAAAGAGACCAGCTTGCCACAATTTATTGAGCACATCATATGGCGTTAGGACATGTTAACAGTTTGCTTATGCAGTTGTGTGGAAAGAGCGGTGAGCCTGAATGAACAAAGTAGTTGCATCGGCCGCCAAGGATACTGATTCCAGGGAAATAGAGGAGAATTTGAGGAGGAGGAAGAGGAGTATGATTACTCTTTGATTATCATTTTAATGACTTAACATTGCATTTCAAGATTATTAAAATGTCCCATTGTTTTTCTACTTTTGTAGAAAGTCTTTTCTTTTTTGCTGTTTTATTTGCCATTATCTTGGAGATTACAGAGAGACAGAAAACCACTCAGGCATCTTAATCTTCCCCAGCATAAGCTTCTTTGCACTGCAAGTAGCTCTGTTTCACTCCAAGAAGAAAAAGATAATTTGGTTTTTGAAAAGTTGTGGATAGAATACTTATGTCATTTATAAATACCCCTTTTTTATAAGAAACAAGGGCTTGTTGTACTTTCATCAAATTTTTTAAAAAATTAATAATATTGTTGAAGTTGGCAATCATACTTAATTCACATACAGAATGCAATTTAGAAAATCAAGTTTTGTTAGTGTTCCGTAGTATTTTTTATTAGTTCCTTGGCATCTGCATTTGAAAGCAGGTTACAGCTCAACCCGCTTATAATTTGGATCCAAAATAAGCATTTTACATGGCTTTGCATCTGCCTGTCCCCATTGTTTACATCAAATTAGTCAGGCAGACTCTTTTCATTGGTTTGTTTTCAAGAAAACACAGAGTTGTTTGCATTTTTGCTATATTCAGATTCTTAACAAGATCCTAGCAAAAGCTACACTCTGTATCTTTTTTTTTTAAGATTCCACATATAAGTGATATCATATGATAATTTACAAGCCAGAAATAGATTCACAGACATAGAAAACAAATTTACGGTTACTAAAACCATAGGGGGAAGAGAGATAAACTAGGATTTGGGGATTAATAGATACAAATGACTATATATAAAATAGAGCAGCACTAATTGTGCAGTACAGGGAACTGTATTCAATATCTAGTAATAACCTATAATGGAAACTAATATGAAAAAGAATATATGTATGTATATATAGCTATACATATGTATCACTGAATCACTTTGCTGTACACCTGAAACTAACACAACATTATAAATCAACTTTACTTCCATTAAAAAAAAAAAGCTATGTTCTGAGCTCTGGACATTTGTAGTTCTTTCCTGAGTGTCTCTTTCTGTTCCTGTTGTTTCTTGAAAGATATCATACTGTAATAGGAAGCATGTCTCTTTTACGCCTGCTCTCAGCCATCTGTCTCTGCCCTTAGACTCTCTGTGGCAGTGCAGGTCACAGGACCTCCTCTGTGAGCACCCAGGGGACCGTGTGGGAGGGTGTGTGGAGCGTCTGTCCCTCTCCCCCTGGGGAGAGATTCCGTTGCAATCCAAAGAGTGAACACAAGTCACCTAAGTACACGAGGGGGGAACACCCGCCTGGTGACTGGGGTGGGAGGGTTGTTTCAGACCTTTGTGGCAGCAGCAAACCATATGATGGGAGCACATCCAGGGAACTAGAGCAAAGCCCCATGGGTTGGTCACAAAATGCAAAGTTAGAGAAGAGTCTGGAGGTTGACGGAGAAGCCAGAGTCAGAAGGGAATTGGGGACCTCTGGCATATGGATGTCAGTTAAAGTCATTGGACCAGATGAGAAAGAAAGGAGTCTCAGGGAGACCTTAAGGTAGCATTACAAGTCGCCAAGATAAGGGCGAACCAGTAGAGGTGGTCACCATTCAGGAGGAAGCAGAACCAGAGTAGAGTGTGGTCACGGAAACAAGAGATAGATGGGTTTCAAGACGGAGGGAGTGGCCACGGCCTTAATTCTGCTGAAAGGTCAAGGAAGATGTGAAGAAAGAGACTTTCCTTGCAGAGTACAGCAACATGGGTTTGTTCGTGACCTTGGCAAGTGCAGCCTCTGGGAGGTAATGGGGTCAAAAGCTCAACTGGAGTGAGTTGTGAATGGAACACAAGGTGAGAAAGCAAAGGCAGCAAACTCACTGCAGCTGCTTGAAGGAAGCCCCACATGTGCCTGAAGAGGACATTTTCAAGCAACGTGCTCATCCGGTCAATGACAACTTACATAAAGTATCTCCTTATGCAAAAAGCCTTGAAAGAAACCAAACAAAGTGATTCTGACCCATCTAAATTGTCCTGTTTTGGAAGATCTCCTTTATGTTACGTCTTCACGTGGAAAGAACCATTAAGAACAGTCTGTCTGCCCGTCTTGGGGAGTGATAGAAATGTTAGCTATCTTCATTGTGGTGGTGGTTTTGTGGGTGTATCCATCTATCAAAATTCATCAAATTGTACATGTGAAATATATGTAGTTTACTGTATGGGAACCATACCACAATAAAAGTGTTAAAAAAAAAAGTTTCTCACTCTCTAAGACTGATTATCTGATGTTTCTCTTTCCTTTTCTACCACAGAATAACAGACTGAGAAAATACGCCTTTGAATTGAAAATGAATGACCTGACCTATTTTGTGTTGGCGGCTGAAACGGAGTCAGATATGGATGACTGGATCCACACCCTCAACCGTGTCCTGCAGATCAGTCCGGAGGGGGCCCTTCAGGGCAGGAGGAGCACGGAGCTCACGGATCTGGGGCTGGGTGAGCTTCCCTCCCTTTGCCCAGTGCGACCTGTGCATCTGGTTCATTTCAGCTCCTAGTAACTGTGGTAGCCATCAGGTCTGGCTCATCCAGTGCTGAGTTGTTTGCTCCAGGAAATCACCCCTAACCTTTTACTTTTACTAAATAGCCAGAGTCACCAGCCAGGGGGATGATTTTGAGTTGACTGGCCAGGATCTGAGGCTGGCACCGAGCAAATGATCCTGAGAATCGTTTGTCAGCAATATTAAAAATGCGCCCATGACTGATGGGATGTGAGCAGGGCTATTCTGTGTTTTATAGCTTTTCTTTAAATTTAATTAATGAATGCTATACTCTATAAAGGCAAATAGGCATTGCTTCCTTTTAGTTGAAAGGCATCTTTCACGTGTGCTTTTGACCCCACTGAGATCAGCCTGAAGGAGAGTTCCATACATTTTGCGTGATGTTAGAGAGCTTTATAAGATAAGAAAATTTTCTTCTGTCCATCCTAATTCTTTCTTAAGTTTCTAATCCATCCTAGGCAAAGAGAAAAGAGTAAGAGAGAGGAAAGAAGGGGTGAAAAGTAGGGGAGAAAAACAGGTCCATAGCCACGTGGAAGACAAGTTCACCCTGTCACCTCTCCTATAGGAAAACTATTTTAAGACATTTTGCACAACACCGTGGTGCATTAAAACCAAAAAGTCTTTAAGTTCTGGTAGTCTTAAGTATCGTGGGAGAGAGTCACGGAATAATGAGAAAGAAAATGATTATTGATTTTAGCACCACTGCTATATACCATAGTTATACCTTCTTGATTTACTGAATAATAATCAACTAGATTACTGTTCAGAGAGTCTTAAAGAGTTTAACTAACTGAAGGTGGAATGTGGGTTTTAAATTGATGACCTGAGAGTCAGAATTATCAAAAATATATACATATGTAAGAAAACTTTGGTATGCGTTGATGAAGTCAGCCAAGTAAACATGCAGTATTGAACGGGTCCAGGGTCCTTATGGGCACAGGATGGTGTCATGGGAAGAATCCCCAAATGGTCTGATTTCCAAACCCAGCTCTTCTAACAATACCAGAGCCAGGACTCAGTGAAGGCGTCTGCTCACCAGCCCTCATCGCTCATGAGTCGAACCCAGTTTTGAGATGTCACAGGCTAGGGAAACGTGTGATTCATGAGGATTATTTAATAACCCGGTCTTGGTATGTCTTTTCAAGATTCCCTGGATAACTCTATAACTTGTGAATGCACGCCAGAGGAAACAGAGTCTTCAGAGAACAGCCTTCACCCTGACTTCACCAAAGTAATAAAGCTGACATTTGACTATGCAAATAAACTTGCATTACTTGTGACTTACTGCTTTTATGGAAAAGATGG